TCAGGAGGGAGATCTTGACAACATATGTGAAGGTCATTTTACTTATCAATACTAATAAAGTACGATACTATTTTTGTTTTGCTAATAACGTTTTAATAAATAGCGAACGATGAATAAAACCATAGTTGGAGGTTACTCAGAAGAGTGTCCTTTATAACATATGTCAAGGTCATCGGAGCTGTATCCCTTAAACGTAACTTTTACCTTAATTTCCTTATTGTTCTCGATTGTTGAATGCACAAATCATAGAAAATTTATTTCTTCCATAAACAGAGAATAAGAGCCCGAGCAGTTATTTAACAAATGGGAGGCTTGAATACGAACGATTTCAAGAACTGTAGAAAATGGCATCTGTCATAAGTTTCTATATACAAAACGCACACTTTCTGCGGGTTCAGTCTTTTCCCCGGATCAATGAGGCAGCGTTGAAGTTCACCAGGTGGGGCGCGAACACCGTCGCCCAACGACAAAAGAAGCCTCCACTCCGATTGTCGTCACCTGGTTCGGAATTATAATTAAACCTCGTAATGCAGCAGAACTTATTGTAATCGTTCGTTTCTGCGGGTTCTCTGGTCCGTTTCGCGTATTTCAAAGGCCAATTTATCGGATGGAAAGCTGTTACGGCGGCCGAACTATGCCGAGCACCAATTCACTTCTGTTTAAATTGTATGAAGAACCACTTGTCTCACGACCAATCCAATTAGATCCCTTATCCAGTGGAAATTATTTTAGACGGTTCATTGGGTCATTGGGTTCCGATCGACCCGTGAATACTTCTGACTGGACATGATCGTACCGTGGCTTTTACGATGGTTGACTCTGGTAACCTCGACGCATTGTTCTCCACTATGATGTCATTGTCTTATCGTGTTCACCATGGTGGAATTTTTATTATCATAACCGTATAATGATAAAATGAAGCGTCACATAATTCCAAACGACAGTACAGATTTTGTAGATAGTCGATCTTGCTGGTGGTTACCAATAACTACCAGGGTATTATGCTGCGTTCCGTGGATACTACGATTATTGTTGAATGGCATACCTAGAAAACCCCATCTCTGTGGTCCTCCACTGATAAGAATCAGGAGGTCCAACATTTTTAGTACTTCTGAAAACATCATTGAATTTCCTTTCATGAGAATCTGTTGAGTTCTGTCATATTCCACGCAAAATATTGGCGTCAACCTAATCGAATCTTCTTCCTTTCAGCTTCATTGTGATTCTGGAGGGTAGATAAATATTATAAGATGCAAGATCTGGGGAAGAGAAACTTCCACCTTCGCAAAATATTCTTAAATTCAAAGGGAACTTTAAGCTGTCATGATATATCAGTTAATGTCACTTCGACAAAGATGCAACTTCTTTTTTCCAAGGTTTTATGTTTGGTATTTTTAATGTTGGTCGAAATTCTGGACGAAATGTCATTTCTGAACTGAATTAATGCAAACGCTTCTACATACATTTCCTATGTTTTGGATGATTATCATGGTAATAAATTTCCTCTAGGCTATGCTCCGCTCGAATACACAATATGTACAATGTATAATATATTAAAACGCAGCTACCTTATACTTCCTATACTTTATATTACGGAGACCGTTCTCCAAGCATTTTCACTTGGCAAACTTCTGGAACTTATTTCAGCTCGTATTATGAAATTGCTGCTCTGGGATTTAGCGATCTGTTAGATTAGGCTAGCTACATAGTACCCTCTGATAAGTGCTGTACTTTATATCTGCTGTTTAGAAATTTTCCAAGTTGCCTGACTAGTCTCGCCACACAATTTTTAGAACACCATAGAAGTATGTATTGTACTTAATTCTTACAGAAATTCCAAAACTAAAAGAACGGTATCGTTGCTATTGGTTATTCAGAGACAAGCATCGACGTTCAATTTTTTACATCATTCATTATTCATCGCTCGATACAAAAGTCTCCCAACTCTGACCCCAACAAATCTCATAAATCCCAAAGGATAAGTGGAAGTTGGAAAGCAAGTTACGCCTACCAGAATCCGAGTTCTAAGTACTTCGAGATTATGTTATACACCTACAACACGTGGTCGTGATACTCATGCTTTCGGTTCAGTATGTGTTTTAGTCTGCGAGAAATCTGATTTAGTCGAGGTTTAGTTATTCTTCTATAAACTTGGTTTATTTATGATTGAACTGCGAGTGTAAGTGGTGTATGATATATTCTGTGCTTGGGTAATTATTAGAAATCAGGTATATATACCTTACCAATTTTTATGACCTTGAAATATGTTGTCAAAGTCATCATTCTCAACTTTTTCCTATAGGTACGTGTCACCACATCTGAGCCTTAGTTTCCGAAATATTCGCAAAAAACGTTTTTAACACTATGTATTTCATTTCATTTCACTCTAAGCAACTCTGAATTACTTCTGTTCGTGAACTGTCCCTAACCAACTCTCAATTACTTGTATTTTTGAACTATCTGTAATCAATTCAGAAGGAATATACTGATCGGAGTTGGTTAGTGACAGCTCACTAAAAACTGTAATTGAGAGTTGATTGCAGTCAGATCAAGGAAAAAAGTAATTCAGAATTGATTAATGTTAAACACATAGTGCTAAAAATATTTTTTGCGAATATCTCGGAAACTAAGGCGGTTAAATATACAGTATTAATATGAATATAATAATATAATAAATATATTAATACAATGTATAGGAAGAAGTTATTCAAAATGATGACCTTGACAATACATTTCAAGGTCACCAAAATGGATGAAGTGAACTTGATTCCGAATAAATTCGAATTCGAATGCTTATTCTAATTATTTCTTGTTCTCAAAGAGTTCCTCTGGCCCTTAGGTCAATCTTTAGGACTGAACATGTAAAAGACGTGAATCCCAATATCCCGCCAATGGACGTTTCCAAAACCAAAGGACGCAGATTCACGTCTCCCAATGAATGATACGTTACCAATTCCAAAAACAAATTAACACAGAAAATGATCGTGCCAGAAGCTTCAGACTTTTGAATGCCAAGCTGGTGCATTTGCATTTCAGCGAAGTCAATTGTGACCCGTGAGGCGTTAAAGAGTCATTCGACAGGAAAACCGTTCGATAAAAAAAGATTCTCCTCCTAGGCGAACGGTCACGAGGTACGGTCTCCCGGAAATCCGTGCTGTAAATTGATCCCCGACGAACCGTCTCTCGCCCCGAGGGCTCGGAGGTCCGTCGAACGACTTCGCGTTTCCGGCCTGGCTGGCCAGCGCGCGCGGACCCGTACTAAAAAGTTACGGCGTTCCTCGGACGGTAAATTCGCAAGATGAATTCCCAGTGAAAACAGTTACTTGACATTCAGTGGCTCACGTAGAATTCCGGCTGGTCAGCGACCGACGCGAGCTTACCGTTCGGAAACAGCACTTGCACGCGTTGAAAAGTTTATTCATAGTCGCCGGGCTCGTCCCCGGGAAAAGGTGGTCCGCTTCCATTCTCTTGGTCGTTTGCAAACCCGGCCTGCCTCTCCGCTTTGCAACCACGCTCCAACCTCGGCTCGGCTCTTTTCGTCACAATGGAGCTCCCTCCTCCTGCGGCGGCGGGAGACTCGAATTAAAAACCCACGGATTCAAACGTCCCCGCGACGACGACGACGACGACGGACACTCGGGGAGAGATATTAAATTCGAGAGAGACGCGGCATCTAGCGAGGAACGAGAGAACGGAGGACGGCTGAAGATCTTATTGTGATATGCGACGTGAAGTTTACCGGATGTTTCTCGTGTGAACGAGTTCCTTATCGTCATCGGTGAAGCGGCATTCAATGCGCGCGAAAAGGTCTTGCAGTCGAGATTGGTAATGTTACGTCGCGTTTTGGATTCTTGCGACAAATCATTTAGAGGAATTCTTTTATTTTATTTTTGTCTTATTTATGGTCGCATCAGCTATTTATTGGTAATGTTACGTCGCGTTTTGGATTCTTGCGACAAATCATTTAGAGGAATTCTTTTATTTTATTTTTGTCTTATTTATGGTCGCATCAGCGTGGTGGAACCCCATGGTTTTTAGGGGCGTTAACCTTCGATTGTCATACTGGATCGAAATGACCCGAAATTTAAATTGGATGGAAAATACCTTTGAGGCATCATTGAAATTGGGACCACTGCTGCCATGTAGTAATAATTTCAAGTGTCTTAAAATAACATTCTTTAGGTATTTTTTTCAAGAATATTTTTAAACTTAATGATACTTTAAGTGTGCATTTTTTATAATGAAAATACATTACATTATATTCAAACCTTATCTTGGAATTTTTGTTTCTTGCAAACAATTGCGTTCCACTGTAGACAACGAACGCTTAAATAATGTACATTTAAAGGGGAAAAACCTGTTTCGAATATTACCGTTATTTAATTATTTATTGAAACATTCAACGTTCATTCACTTGTGTCAGTTTTACGACAATAGACAATACGAGATACGGAGGGAATATTTGGAAATCTACGTCCATCTAGGATCCGTATACATATGTGAGTTTTCTCTTGAATTAGAAGGAAGACATATGAAACAACTGTGACAAATGTGAAAACAAACTTTTGTATTTTTCATCGAGAGTATTGATTTTATGATCCATGTTGATTAGATGTTTTTTACTCCACTCGACGAGTACTATAACTCTTAGACCCTTTTTCCTAAACACGCTATATTTACAGAAACCAGCCTATATATTATTTAAAATAGTAAATAATAATTGAAAAAATTGTGGTTTTGCCTTTTTAACCACACCTTGTATTTCCACATTAATTTCGAATTTATTGCCGGAGTGTTTATACACGCGAGCTATATGAAATCGTTTGAACGTTTTTCCCGAGGAAAACCGATAGACAATTACTGAAACGTCGAAACGCAAAGACTGCAGCGTAAGCGACCGTATTTGCTGAATAGAAGCAATAATAGTGAGATGAATCGAAGCCACTTTTTAGCTGCGTAATTGACCGACTTTCGATTCAACCGCGTCCTTTATGTTTCAGTGCAACCTGACTTCATACGAGTCATCGACGAGAATACGAAGAACACGTTAAGCACCGGCACTACTTTAGGACCTATCAACGAAGGCTCGATGGTTTCCCTGTACTGCGAGAGCGGCGAAGGGAAGCCAGTGCCATCTGTCGAATGGTTCAAAGATGATCAGATGTTGGAAGGTAAGATTTCGAAATAACAACGGTATCATTCTTCTATTTTGCACTGAAACTTCCGAATTGTTGTTAATATATCTCGTACTCATTTTTATATTTTCAAACACCACTAACAGATAACACAACACTTTCTGAAAGCTACTGTTTAATATCAACTCGATGCATATAAAACTACCCTAAAGTTTTCAGTTCTTACGTATTGTGGTGAAAATAGAAACAAACGTAGTATGGCGTGTCTGAAGTCGTATTGAACGACAAATTGAAAAGTGTATTAAAATTTCCTTACATGACGATCTCTTTTCATGAAAATCGAATTTTAATACTCGTAAAACACGCATGACAAATATATTACAATATCTTTTGTAATTTTTATAAATGCTTCTAGTCATACAGTATTATGTTTCTCACCGATTAAATTACTTCCCAACCATTTATTCACATATTCACAATTACCGTGAAACACCACTACAATTATTTATAAAAATTGCAGAAGTAAAACTGCCAAGTAATAAACAGACAATAACAGGTATACGCGTATTAAATGATCTATCGTATAGTAATTTTCTCGCTAACAAGGACCAATAAGAAAAAAACTTGACTGGGTATTTTCAATTTATTCTACCACGCAACTTCTTTTCAACGCCGCTAATTGCACGCCACCATGCACGTACACAAATTTCCGTATGTGTCAGATCTAAACACGTCCGACGTACCACCCCGTCTGTCCGCCAAAAATCGCGTCGAATTTCCTCCGAGCGATCAACCCATGGCACGTTCCCCATCTCCAAACTCGATCTAAAAACACATCTAAACACGTCGACACGGGTGTGTTTCAGCAACCAGCTCGACGACGATCGCTGCGAACGGGACAGGCACCGGCAGCAGCCTGCTGCAGATGCAAATCACGCGCGAGGAGCTCGGTGCAACTTTCACGTGTAAAGTCAACAGTACAGCCCTCGTTGAACCCCTCACCGTCGACATCAAGCTGGATGTTCACGGTAAGTGTATTGGTGTATGCATGCAATCTCCATATACCGTACCACCCCCTAGCCGTCGCGCAGCCCCACCATCCAGTCACCCGATGTCCCACGGAAAGTGAATCACTCGAGACGATAAGCGCTTCTTTATCGGCGTTTCGATCGACAGAAAAGAGTAAAATAATCTCGACCAAGTTTTCCCTCTGCTCCGGGTAACCATTATCTGTGAGAGGCTGGTCGAGGCTTCTCGGGGTTGAGAGGATAAGTTTATGAAAGAGGGTCGAAAGATGTAGATGATTCGATGTTTCTTTGATTGTTTCAAGCCCAATATTAATTATTTCTTATGATGTGTGATAATGAAGTTTTGGGAATGATTCATTTAAGAGGGTTGAGGGGGTAAGTTTACGAAAAAGGGTCGAAAGATGTAGATGATTCGCTGCTCCGTTGATTGTTTCGAGCCCGATATCGATTATTTCGTACGAGCTGTGACAATAAAGTTTTGATAATAATTTATTTAAAAGGGTTGAGGGGGTAAGTTTACGAAAGAGGGTCGAACGATGTAGATGATGCGTTGCTCTGTTGATTGTTTCGAGCCCGATAACGATTATTTCGTACGAGCTGTGACAATAAAGTTTTGAGAATAATTCATTTAAGAGGGTTGAGGGGGTAAGTTTACGATAGAGGGTCAAGTGTAGATGATTCGTTGTTTCTTTGATTGTTTCAAGTCCCATATTAATTATTTCTTATGATGTGTGATAATGAAGTTTTGGGAATGATTCATTTAAGAGGGTTGAGGGGGTAAGTTTACGAAAGAGGGTCGAAAGATGTAAATGATTCGTTGTTCCTTTGATTGTTTCAAGCTCGATATCGATTATTTCGTACGAGCTGTTACTATAAAGTTTTGAGAATAATTCATTTAAGAGGGTTGAGGGGGTAAGTTTACGATAGAGGGTCGAAAGATGTAGATGATTGAGCCTAGGTCAAGTGTAGATGATTCGTTGTTTCTTTGATTGTTTCAAGTCCCATATTAATTATTTCTTATGATGTGTGATAATGAAGTTTTGGGAATGATTCATTTAAAAATTTTATTTTGAAAATTGAACAGATGTGAGACCATCTCCGATAAAGTAGACGACTAAAAATCATATTCGTTGGTTCTAATAGTTTTGGTACTCACTTTCTGGTAGGGGGAGTTCCTGTAGTTTAGATAAATAAGAAAATATTATTTTCTTCTCTTTTTATTCTGCATTAATTACATGTTAACAACAATAGAAATCAACGCAGAGGAAGAAAATAACCTACATTATCATAACATTCAAATTAAATTAACATTAAACTTTGGTATGTGATTATAAAGGAACATTGAATAGCATCTAGTACCGGACATAACAAACATAAGTAACCTAACGCAGGGCAGCATTAATATAGTTGATATTATATATTTAATGTACTCGTCATATCTCATCATTCCTCTCTAAGAAAATTGCACACACAATTTCATTGTTCGTATTTTTCATCTTTTTGAATTTATTTCCCAAGTTACCCTTCTACCTTCCTGTTCTTTAACTCTTTCGCGTTTTAATTCTCGAACATATAATTAATGTCCGATTCTAGGTACCGTTCGGGCCTAGGATAATTTCCCCTATCTGTTTCAATACATTCATTATATTACTGTGAATTTCAGAAATTGATTGTAAATGCATTCCGTTTGCAAGTCCTTTTACTCGACGAAAAAGAAATAGTCACTATGAGACAAAGCAGACGAATCCCTGGGCGGGGGAGGGGTGGGGGTATGGCTTCTACATTGTGATCGATTTTGAATTTAAAAACTCTTTCACTGGAATGGTTGAATATGCGGAAGCACTATCATAACGCAAACATAGATTTCGTATCGCAGAACTCAAACACGACTTTACAACGTGCACACTGACTGAAACAATTGACAATGTTTACCTTTCGCATGCAGGTAGAGAGGGGATCAGACTACGTACCAGTGGGATCGTAACTGTTTACATTGTTCCTATGTAATACATTTGCAGAAACAAATGTATTCTGTCGTACAGTACGGCTACTTACTGAGACAAATCGTCCATTGCGAAAATAAAAAAAGCGGTCACATATTTAAAATATCGTTGAATTTTTCATTCAATATTTCCAACGGCAATTTATGTGTCCATTTTCTTCACATACGGGTCAGGGACTTCTACCGAAACGTAAAATATCGGTATTTTCGGTTGTATCTTCGCCCTATATAACCCTATATAAGCCCTACCCTTGTAGAAATCGAAAAAATACCGATATTTATTTCGGTTTTCGGTAATACATCGGTTTCGGTATAGCTTTGATGGCATAATACCGGTATCAAAATCATACCGGTTTAAGTCCCTGAAATACGGATCATTCCACACCAGGCGGATCACTTTTGTACACGGTGTCTGGGATTTTGCTCAAATTGTAATATGTTATACTTCATATGAAAGTAGAGGGGGGTCATATATTTTAAACATTTTTAATATTTTTGCATCACAAAAATAACTTTACATACAAAACAAAAAATTCATTACACAGAACAACTTTTTACGATCAAAAGGAAAAAAGAATCAAGTTCTTATCTTTAATGGTTTCTGAGATAAAAATTCTTTTGTGGTGGTAGTTTTCGTAAAAATCGGTCAAAACTACCAACTTTGAGAATCTGTATTTTTTAAACAATTCCGAAACCAACAAAATCATGACTTAATCCCCCCCCCCCCCTAATTTCACATAAAGTATAACATATTACAATTTAAGCAGAAACCCAGACATCGTGTACAAAAGTGATCCGCTTGGCGTGGAATGACCCATACTTCATCTTATCAAATTTTCCATACAACACCGTAGAAAGTTGATATTATTTGAAAGTGTACACAGTCGCGTGAAACCGAATATTAAAGTATAATTTTCGTTTTCCTATCTGGTAACGATAAAGGGTTGGGCTGAAGATTAATGTTTTCAGACACAACGATACAGGAAGATCCAGCTCGTGATCAATTTCTGTCGAAAGTTTGGAAGTTAAGCATGATCTATGAATTACGAACAAAGTTAAAGAGAATTGGCCGCTAGTAAATTATGACCTTGCCTAGTCACGGTCATTAATCATTTCGGTCTTGACATTAAAAAAATCCCTTTCCGCATCGTTTGTTAAAAGGGGAACTCGTTAAAATCCTCGCGTGCGTGATCCGCAGCTTCTTCGTCTCTACTCACCTTGGAATACACGATTTTTTCTCGTTCCCCATTCGCTCGCGTCCCGATTAAACGCCAGAAATTCGCTTCGACGTGGAAGACTTTTCAAACAACGGGAGTCTCGAAAGTCACGCACCCTTTTAATGAATTCTCTGCAAACAGCTTTTCTTTAATCTGATTTTCTCTAATTTATTCCGGTCAGTTTTCTGCTACTTGATTTAATCCCGTTCGATCCACGTTTCCTTCGGTTCCGCCTCGCTTATTAGAATTCCACGTCATTCATCTCACAAAATCACTCGTGTTCTTTAACAAAAATAAAGTGAAGTTAACACGATACCTGAATTATGAATCACCGTTGTTCTGTAACATAATTTTTTACAATGCAAATTCACATTTTTGGAGATCAATTTCAGAAAACAAGTTAATCATAAACAGATTTGTTTCATTAATTGTTTCGGTGGTTTAAGTACGAAGTAAAAACCTCGTCAAATGTGATTAATGTTTCTGTGTCCCTTTTATTGTGTTGCATACAGCAGTCATATATGTTACAAATGCATAAAGTTCGCAGACTTGACTGTCTGACACCCATGTTCGTTTATTTATTGTTTCGTTCCCCGAGATTGCAAGCAGTCGGCCAAATTTATGACACGAAACACCGGAAAAATGTTGCAAACCTTCCAACAGTGTACAACAGATCACGGATCTAAGCTTTTAAAAATTATAGTCTCGATAGGAAGCAAACTATCATTCCATAGTCAGACGGGAAAAAATATTAATTACTCAAAAAAATCCATGGTTGAAATGTGAACCTTGGTAAATAAAACTGTCATTTTATTATTATGTTATTTCTATAAAATATATAAACTACAAATCGAAAATGAAATATCTCGGAATATAATAGTTTTCCTTACTACATGCGTTCATTTTATTTTTTATTATTTTTTAAAAGTATTTTTCTAATCACTTAAATTTGTAATAAAGTTTCACTAAAAATACATCAAAATGTTTGAAGTAAAAGTTCAATAGACGTTTCATTATAATTGTGCTTTTTCTTCAAATGTGTAGGACAATTTTTTTGTGTACCGATTTTTCTTGCGTACAAGAGTACTGGAGAAATACGTTCGTGGATGGACTATTTTATGAGATATTTCAAGTTTCTTGACAAGAAAGTTCTTTACCATAGTAGAATAAAAATGTCACTGCAGAAACGTCACTCAAATATGTGACTAGAGGCTCGAGAACGACTAGTTCCATTGTAGTTTCAATTCACATCATTTTACATTATCAACGTTTGCGTATAAAACTAATAATAAGTATACTTTGGCAGTAAACACTTGAATATTAAACTTTTTTGTTTTTTTATTGATACTTAGAAAAAGAGGAATTAATTTAAAACCGCCAGAATTTTTACGTAAAAAGAAATGTTTACATAAATTATGAAACATTGCTACGAAAAACAATTTTAGTTTAAAGTACGATTAACAGAAGGAGATCCTATTATGACGTTACGTCAATATTATATTTCATAAGAGTTGCTTTTCCCCCACTCTTTTCTACTTTTATCTACACTTTGAACCTATTTTCGAAAAAAGATTCATATATTCAATAATATTTTCATGATAATTTTCGACCTGATAACGAGTAATCTTTGAACGGTCCAATTATCATGTAAAATAGCGTTTAAACTTCCTATTACTTCCAACATTATTTTCGTTGCATTTCAGACTTGTATGTGTAAACATATATTTTTCGTGATAATTTTACACTGGTATGTAAAGATTTCCGTTGTCAGATCACTGTTG